AAACCTAATAGAAAACTATATATAATAAGAACAATTATCAAGTATTGTCCAGGAGAAAGAAAGGGTAATAACATAAACAAAAATGAAACTACAACCAACAATAACAACATCAAGCAAGAAACACATACTAAATGTCCAGGCCAAAGGTAATTGGCAAGTTACAGAGATTACTCCAATAGCTGTCCTATCTTGAAGAATCTAAATCTTGTATCTGATATGCTCTTAGATAAAATACAAGAGGATTGTAACTGTAACTATCTAGTCTTCCACCCCATCTAAGATCTGAGAAAGAAAAATAATATTACTTGAGTGAGCAGGAAGCAAGAACCTTCTGAAAAATGCAAGAAGTGATAGAGACAGCTGGTGCCTGCTTCTCTGCAACATTGGGGCATCCACTTTTGGCTACAGGCCTAGAATATCTGGCAGACCATTTTCAGAAGCATGAGAATTTGAAAGACTCTTCTACACTGTCTTGGCAAGGTTCAGCAGTTGCATTTTCTAGTGTCCTGCTTGTCGGGATTGGACAGAGTGCTCCCTGTCAGCAGTCAAGGCAAGGGCAGCACTTTGCCTAACAGCCATTTTTTACCAAGAAGAAGACAAACAAAAATCAACAAAATGTATTTCCATTTATTTATATCTTTAAAAGTCTTTCCAGTACTTTATTTTAGATTTTAAAGAACTTCTACTTCTTGGACAACTCTCTTCCTGTAGATCTTATTTTTGACATTATGTAATGAAATCCTAATTTTCTTTTCGGATTGTTCATTTCTAGTACACAAGAACAGAACTGACGTTTTGTGTTGACTTTGTATCCAGCAATTATGCTTAATTCACAGCAGCCACAGCTTTTGTGTCATCTTTAGGTTTTCTAATACTAAAAATCCTGTTATTTGTGAACAATAATCATTTTATTTCTTCCTTTGGACACCCTTTGTCCTTCTTCTTTCATTGAGTAGTGAAAATAGCCTTCCTTCCTAGTTAATAATCTTAGGGAAAAGCTGTCCTTTACAGTGAATAATCTCGTCCCTTTGCTGAAGATTGCTTGATCAAGTTTCGTGGAGTGCACGTCAGCTGTGGGTCTCCATCTGTGACCCACTTATGCTCAGTGAGAACATCTCCTCCTGCTTCTAGTGGACTGAATGGTTTTGTTTTTGTTTTGAGACATGTATTCCTGGCTGTCCTGAAACTTAATATGTAGCCCCAGATGACTTTGAACTCACAGAGATCTTCCTGATCCTGTCTCCCAGGGTACTGGGATTAAAGGCATGTGTCACTATGCTGATTGGATTGAGCGTTTTTGACATAAAAAGTTGTTTGACAGATGGTCTGGATATGGAGCCCAGGTTGACCTCAAAACTGTCATTCTCCTACTTTAGTCCCCCAGGGTCTAGGATTCAAGGTGTGCACCACAACCCACGCACAGTATCACAAGAGCTGGTCATTCATTTTGTCATCTAGTCTGTTAATTTCATAATCAAGCTGATTTTGTAATTAGTTTTGCTAGCATTTTATTGAGAGTTTTTGGATCAAACTCATAAGGGGTATTTACTTAAAGATTTTATTTCTTTGAGAGTATCTTCTGCCTTCTTTATGAGGGTAATGCTGGTCTCATAGAACAGCTTAACTGTATCTTCCTCCTCAGGTTTTCAAAATAATTTCAGAAAGGTTAGTCTTAATTCCTTTACGCATTTGCTCTAATTCCCCAGTAAGGCCCTTAGACCCTCAGTTCTGCTGGTGGTGGGAGGGTTTGGATTAGTCATCAGCGTCCACCATGGCTGTAGGTACACTTAGGTTTTCTAGCTGTCTATTAGTCAGATCTGGTAGGTTGCATACATTTAGGAACATGTTCATCTCATTCACATTATTTGGTTTTACAACTTTCCACCATAGGTGTCTTTGTGGTTTGTCTATGTATCTCTAAGGGCCTGATCATCCTGCCTCAGTCTCTTAAATTCTGAGATTACAAGTGTGTGCTACCATGATTGACATGGAATAGTTCTTGAAGAGAGTGGTGGGTGATATATTCTCAGCAGACATTTCATATCATAACCATTTGTATGTGTCTAGTTCAGTGGTATTAATTATAGTCAGACACTGTGAATCACTACAATCACCGATCTAGGAAAGTTTTTCTCAACTTGCAAATTGAATCTCTATAACAATAATCCCTCTCCCCACCCAGTCTTTATGAGTTTGACTATTCTAAGATCCTCATATAAATGGAATCAGCCAATCTGTCATTTTATGACTGACTTATTTCACCTTGAGGAACTGTTTGGTTTGGGATAACACTGAAGTGATAATTTGAATGTAATTGGCCCCCATAAGTTCATACAGAGTCGCACTATTAGGGGGTGTGGCCTTGTTGGAGGAAATGTGTCACTGTCGGGGTGGGCTTTGAGATCTCCTATGGTCAAGCTATACCTAGTGTGGACACAGATTCCTGCTGCCTGCAGATCAAGAGGTATCTCCTTCTCCAGCACCGTGTCTGCCTGAATGTCACCATGTCCCACATGATGATAATGGACTGAACCTCTGAACTGTAAGCTGCCACTCCAATTAAATATTTTTCCTTTATAAGAGTTGCTGTGTCTCTTCAGAGCAATAGAAACTCTAACTAAGACAATCGATAAACCAGATCAATGAGTTACAGAGCTGTTAAGAGAAGAGAGTTCAGGGAGAGGCAGTGTTGTGGGGCAAATCTGTTGACTTTGATAATGGGGGAGCAGCAATGGAGAGGTGGCATGATCAACTTTACTTTTTAATGGGATTCCTCTGATTTTGGCATGGAGAAGGTGAAAGGTGTGGAGCTAGAGTGAGGAAAGAGGAACACTCTTGTCAAGAAATGGTGGGAATCTCCTATCTGTTTTAAACATGGAACCAACAGAATTTGCCAGTGATGAGCTGGTGTGAGAAAGGGGCTTGTTTACAGGCTATCAGGAGCTTCCTGTGTCATGCTGCTCAGGGCAAGTTGCTTCTCAGCAGCACTAGTGTCCAGAGGATCTCCCTCTGATGCCCTGAGCCAGGCTTCCGTGTCCTCTTGGTGCGCCATTGTCCACGTCCTTTGCAGCCATGACTTGTATCTCTAGTGCAGTGCTCCTCCATCTCCCTGCTTTGTCTTCAGTTTCCCTGCTGACTGTCCTGACCAGGAGGCTGTAGTCTCACCTGCCCTGTTTACTATTGAAAACAACACTCTAACTCTGTAATTCAGCCAGTGTTCAGCCACAACCATTGACTTTTTACTACACTATCTTCACCCGCTATAATGGCGATAAGGGTGGTTTCTCATCTCAAATGTAGAGCTTGGGGTCCACTCACAGGGGACTCATGTATATTGAAAAGTCAAGTGAAAATAGTTCCTAATTTGTAGGATTTGACTTTGAAATGTTCAACGAAGGCTTACTTTATGAGCTCCATGGTCAGCTGACTGGTTTGAGGGAAGTATTGGCTTTTAAGGCTCTGGTCGAACCAGTGAACAAGCTCCTTGATGGATTTGAGGTGATGGACAGCAGAACCTAGCTGGTAGAGGCTGATCACTGAGTGCCTGACTCCAAAATGTAGAAACATATATCTTGTCCTGAACCTGTTTCTTGGTCATTCTGCTTTCCAGCTCAACGCAGTGAATGGCTTTGTCTATTACTGTTTCTGCCATGTTCAGCCTGAAACCACAAACCAGAATGAAATGTTTTCCTTTGGAGTTTTTTTCTCTTCTTAAGTATTTTGTCTCAGATAGCTGAATAACACCAACTATGACTTGCTGGGACAAAGCTGTAAAGTAGCCAATTCCTTATGAATATTTTGCATTAATTTCTTGTTCATAATAATTCATTAAAATGATATTTGTCTTAGTTACTGATGTCTGTTTTACTGTATAATTTTGGTGACCTGGGAAAGTAGCTGGGCTCCAGGCCCTGACCCTGGCATTGTTGTAGGGCATGTGGGTGATAAGCAAGGTACTATAGGGTATAGGTTTAGGGTATCATGTTTTCTGATTGGTACATGAAAGACTTTAAAGAGGAAGGTCTTGTGGCTTAAAGACTTCAGTTCATCTGAACTGCTGTAGCAAAAATACTTAAATTTGGGAGGCTTAAAAGCACAGATTTTCTCACAGTTTAGAAGCTAGAAATCCAAGATCAAGGAGTTTGCATAGTTTGATTTTGGTGAGTCCTCTATTCCTGCCTTGAAGGCAGGGTCCTTGGGTCCTCCTGTGGCTATCTGGTATGTATCAAGTGTGAGCTCTAGCATTTTTGCCTCTTGTAAGGATACATTTCTCTCAAATATGGTCTCAATTAATCTTTGTTGACTCCACAAAGCCCTTATCCTTAAATACAGTCAATCTGAGAGGTAGAGTTTCAACATCCAAGTTTTTTTTTTGACAGACACAATTGAGCCCACAATAGTAGTAGGTCATGCCATCTGATGTGGGAACTTACATGGGAAAACCTAAGTTGTTGGAGTTGAGTGGAAAATGGAGATGAGATAAAGCTGAGTTTTGCTTTTCTCTTTCAAATTAGCTGTGTCTTCCTGGACTCATCAGCTCTTGCCTCCAGACACTGGCTTCTCCTTCTCTGGAGTCACTTAATGTCATTAATTTCACATGGAGATAGAGATTGATCTGAGAGGTGGGTAACAACCTTGAGGTAAAAACTCTAGGTGATCGGAGACAATGCTCAGTGACGATCAGGGTACATTTGGGAAACAAGTGGAAATAGGCATGACATGGGATTCGATGCAGCTCAGTGGTAGAATGTTTGCAACCATGCACAAAGCCCCGAATTCCATCTGTAGTGTCACAAAAGAAAGTAAAGAAAGAGAGGGGGGAAGAGAAGGAGGGATGAAAGGAGGGAGGGAGGGAGGAAGAGAGGGAGGGAAGGAGGGGGGCATTGACACTTGTAGTTAGGTTCATCAAGCTGTGTTCTTGGACTCCATGTGGATGAAGGGCTAGTGAGGGGCATCCATAGAAACTGCTATTCTGCATTCCAGTGGCTGCATACTCTTACCCCACAGATTAGATCTTCAAGCAGACATTGGGCAAAAGTCCCAGGTTCACAGACATCCTTAGGTCAATGAGGAACTTTCCATAGCTGTCCAGTTGGAGAGAGAAATGCTGAGTCACAGATTCGTTTCCTTCGGATTCCGTGTGGGTCTTATCGAGTTCGTCAGGAAGTGCTAGCACACCCAGCCATTAATAATGATGGTGAAATGAAGTTTCCGAGTAAATCCGGGGTGGAGGTGAGGGTCACCTGCCTGGCTAACCTACACCTCTATCTATCCAGGAAGGAAAGGCACTATCTGGAGTCAGCTTAAGGAGACAGGAATGACCAGCAGGCTGAGAATCCCTCAGCTTCACACGACAGGACAACCCAAGCCTCCTGAAGGTCACTGTTGGGTGGTAGGTGTGGATGTTGGTGTTGGCATATTTTTCCACCCAACTCTAAAATTTCTTAGTAGGCAAAGTAGATTAAAACAAAGGAATGAACAAACCAAACAGTGTGGTGGTCTTGCAGTGGTCTTACAGTCCAGGAGGAAGTGCTTGTCTAGATGAGCACAGGACCATTCTCACCCCATCAGCGTGGATGACTTGTTTTCAGTTCTCTTCACTCTTAGTCCTCTGGCTACCTTTTGAAAAGCAAGAGTTTCATGCATGCAATTCACTGGTAAATACTAATTTATCCCAACATCCTTTCCTCTAACTTCCCTGTCTACAACCCCCAAACCCATCCCCAATGCCCCTTCAGTCAGCTTAATTGTATTGATGAACAGCAAGTGTTTGATGCCTGGAACTCTCTGGAATTTATGATTATCAAGTAATCCCAAGAAAGTCTTCGATTCTGTGTTTTCTACCAGAGGTGGACAGTTCTGACTAAAGCCCTCAATGCATAGACTATTTTAGGCAATGGTCTGTGTCGTTGGACTCCAAAGGTCATGACTTCATCCATATCCCAGATGGAAAACTTCACTTTGGTGACAGAATATACATCAAGTTCAGTCAGTCCTTACTGACATAAGGGAAAATTATGCTCAACTATTTTTGGCCCCTTCCCCTTGTAACATTCATAGCTGAGAAATTTTCACAACAAAATTAAGTTTCCAGTATTTAAATCAGGCTATTAATTAACTCAAGGAATCCAGGAAGAACTGCTGTTGAAATCTGTTACTACAAGCACAGGCGTCAGGGCACTGCAGCTTACTAAAGCAACATATGTGGACACGTCATTTATCATGCCAAAAGGCGCCACCTAGTGCAGTAATTACTGTTCACATATGGCTTCTGGAATGTAAACCGAGTTAAAAAGAGAAAGTCAGTTCCTTAGGTATACCAGTCACACTTCAGGGGCTCAGTAGTGCATCCTGTGTGCACGTGGCATGTGGGGCTTCTCTTCATCCCTGTTTTGTCGTCTCAGAGGGGGAGATGTTGCACGTAGAGGCCCTGTACACTGTGAACTGCTCCCCATACCTTGTATTAGTCCTGGCATGGCATTTGCAAGGATGAAGAGTACAGTCCAGGGTTTCTAAAGAAAGGTTGTGTGAAATAGTATGACTGAACATGTATTTCTAGGCATTCTAGGCGGAATGAATGCTACCCACTGAACTACACTTTCAGCCCCTCCCTCCCACCTTCTCTTTCTCTTTTAAAACCTGTTTTCTTATGTCAGGTTTCAACAGGCAGCGCAAACTGGCCTGGGACTTTTGGTCCTCTCGCCTTCTTGACTACACGGGTGCTGGCATCACCATGCTTGGCAGCTTTAGTGACTCTTTCTAATGGTTTTCTGAGTTAGCCTTATTTCTTTTACTGTAGTCAACAGGGTTAAAAAGTCCCATCCCTAGGGCAGGAAGAGCCCTTCTTCACCCACTCAGCCTGAGAAGCTCTTCCTGGACCAGATTCTCTTGGCTTCTTGGCACGCCAAACTTCAGCTTCCAGGAGTAAAGCCATGAAACACCTCCAGGAGCCTCACGTGTCTTTTGCCTTCTCTACTCTGTCACACACCCTGGGTGCCTCTTCTCCCCCACAAACCTGTCCTGGAACTAGGCGGTGAAGATGTATCTCAGGGAACACTAGGCTTCGAGTAGGTAAAGGACTGGTGCTACTCTTTCATTCTCACTGACTTTGAGAAGTTACTTGACTTCCTTGGTATAAATTTTTTTTGCCCCTTTAATCTGTATAAATAGAGGAAATAACCTCCATTTTATAGAATTGTTGCAAGAACCAAATGAGCTAATGGGTACCAAATGCTTAGTGCAGTGCTAAATAATAAACAATAAACAATAGATGTATTATGCAAGAGATGTCTCAGTCTGGGGGAAATGGTTTCCCACTTCACTTACAAAGCAGTGGAAAGATCAGACACTGTATCTGTTAGATGGGATTAAACAGCTTCAAGCAAATATGCTAGATACCCCTTGTATGTTATGGTAAGTAGATTTGGCATCAACCTACACCATCCCAACTTTGTTTTTTTTGATAACAGAATACAGATTTTGTTTGATATCCAGAGCACTTTCTTGAGGTCTGAAGTACTGGATTGTCATTGGTCAAATCCATAAGGTTAATAGTTCACTTTCCCAGCGTGTCTTATGAAAATGACCAAGTGGCATACTTTTGATTTGTGAGACACAGAGAAAGTTGAGAGGAAACATAGTTCCAAGGAAGGTTTCTTGCCTAGAAAAATGAAAGGAAAGCAAGTGAGGCCCTGCCGTTCGATCTAAGATTGTTATCTCCATGTGGACTGGTAGCCGTCTATATCCATGAGGTGACAAGTTCAAGGACCAAGCCATCATAACAAATGACAGAGAGAATATAGATGCATGATGACATCATGCTGTTACATCAACCATCCCCAGAAGCACCCAATTTCTAGACTTCTTGGTAAGATAATAAATTAATGTTACCATTTACATAAAAAAGCTGACATTTTCTGTTATTTATACTGACAGTATTCTAAATAATATGCAGTATAAGTAATCAATGCTTACATACTATCTATGTGTGTCTTATAGTCCCTTTTTAATTCTACCTTCTTGGAGATCTTTTGTTCTTGTTCAGTCTCCTAACACCTGATTCAGTATCTTGCACATAGGAAACATTAACACATAGCTTATAAATGAATGAGGAAGTGAAATAATGTGAGGAAAAGGGGTTCTAAGAAGCCTCTACCACAGGCTGATAAGACAGAGGGTTGGTGGTGTGGAAGGGTGTGGAGATAGTCAGGACTGGATTATGCCTTCTATTCTGTGTAGACACTGTTCCTCATGGGGACACTGATGTAGCAGTCTGGTGCTGCTGTTGCCTCTTTCCTCATGCCAAATTCTTGTCTTATCATCTTGGCTTTTGAGCTTATTCAGGGTAAGCAGATTCTAGGGGAGGGAAGCTTATATTCTCTAAGCAAATGAAAATTTCCAGAGACAGAATGACCATGTCATTTATTATAACAGGAGAACCACTTTTCAGAAGGAAATCTAGACTAAGGCCAGAAGGTGGCTTGTAGGGACAGATTAATGCAGGGCTGTAGAGATTGTCCCAATGTCTCAGCCCCATAGGCGCATCCCCTGGTTTACAGGGCCATCCCACTCCCAACTGATGGAGACTTCTGCCTTTTCTCTGCTCTCTTCTTGGTACCTATGAGGCTGGCAGTAGCAGTGTGAAATATTAGGAACCTAGACAGACTCTTGTCTCACTCTCTGCTGGCAATAATTCTAATGCTCTGAAATGGACTCTCAGTCTTCTAGCACTCAATGCTGTGAAGTTCTATGTCTTCTCCAGATCTGAGCAGGATGACTTTTACCTCCCCATGATCTACATTGCAGTTTTTCTTCAGGCCATGGTGCAGTTGGCTGAGCAGCCAGGGAGTTCTCCTGGAGAGGAAAAGCCATGTGAGGAGGACCTTGACTTTCTATGGAGTGTGAGACAGAACACTTCTATTGTCACATGGGTCTTCACAGCTGGCACTGCACAGGGAGCTCTTGTGTCATGGTTCCCAGCTGGTGGCTATCTCCTCTGTGAAGGCTAGACAGAGGTTTTCAGGATGACTCACTGGCAGACCCTGACTGATTCCATCTCCACATCAAGGAATCTTGTCCCTTTCACTCTTTCATGGTCCTCTGCTTGGACTTTTCCCTCCAGAACGCCCGTCTGGTGGCTTAGCATATGCCCTGTGACCTGCTGGGAAAACCAGGGTGGGTGGTGATGGGAAGAGAACTCCATCCTGTGGCTTGTGTGTGGAGAGGACACAACACTCTACAGCTCCAAGTGTTGTGAGACCTGTGATGTTGCATTTCAGATTTGAGGAGTGGGAAATGAGTAAGAGAAATTTAAAAAGTGTACCAAGAAGGAATACAAGGAAACGGAGCAAGGCACAGTGGCCAATATCTGTAATCCCAGCACTGTGGAAGGTGAAGCAGGAGGATGGTAAGTTTGAGGCCAGTCTGGGTTACAAAGCCAAACCAACCAAACAATAAACCCAAAACCCCTGAACAAAACAGGTCAGCAAGGAGGGCGCAGGGAATAAAAATTGCAACAGAAACAAATGTAGAGGAAACAACCATAAGCCACTCTGAGACCCTGAAATTTTCCCTTATAATCTGGGGAAACTGACCTACATCTCCCCGATTGCTGCTTGTGATACAGGGAATGGAACCCGGGCCCTTTTTAGTAAGTACCGTTCCATTGGTTGATAAGACTCAGTGACCAAGGCTGCATACAGTGCTAGAGGGACATGAGTCCATCATGTCAGGGACACATGGTAACCAGCAGCAGACATAATGCTGGAGCAGAAGCTGAAGACTCACATCGTGAACCTCAAACACCAAGAAAGGACTGCACTAGAAGTGATGTAAGTCTTTTAAACTCTCAAAGCGTGCATTATTGATATACTTCCTTCAACAAGATCACATCTAAGCCTCCCTAAACAGTACCATCACCTGATGACCAGTTTTTCAAATGCCCTAGAGCATGGGGGACATCTCATTCAAGCCTCACACGTTAGGCCAGATTTCTGCCACCAAAGCTACATCCCACACCAAGATACATTTTAAAAGATATTATCTATTTATTATTATAATTGTGAGTGTGATGCAAATGTCACAGTACACATGTAGAGGTCAGAGGACAACTTTGTGGAACTGGGTCTTATTTTTTAGTTTTTCAAGACAGTGTTTTTCTGTGTATCCCTGGCTGTCCTAGAACTCACTCTGTAGACCAGGCTGTGCTCAAAAACAGAGATTTGTCTTCCTCTGCCTCTGAAGTGCTGTTATTAAAGGTGTGTACCACCATGCCTGGCTAGAATTGGTCCTTTCCTTCTACACTTACATGGATTCTAGGGTTGAACTCAGGTGTTAAGCTCACAGGGAAGCATTTGACCCACTAAACTACCTCCCTAAGCCCCAGATAGATTTTTGTGTTAGTTTTGCACATAGTAATAATATAGTGGGGTCGTTCTTGTCATTTTCAATGACAGTTTGTTCAATGCCTCTCACCGTCGTTCTTGTAGAAGTTAGAGCCTTAGCCATGAGAAGAAGCCTGGAGGTCTGGTGTTGAGCTTTTCAGAGAAAGGGACTCCTCAGGCTAGAAACATATAGTAGGTGACCCAGGGAAGCTAGGATTGAATTCTTCCTGTACCAGGGCTCCGACAGTTCCAAGCAAGGCTTACGGTGCCCTCAGGCCTGTTTTCAAATACATTCATGCTTCTCTACCTACCGAAATTTGTAATTTCTGTAGCACTTTCTTACCAAGCTTTATGAATTTAAATCACTCTCTAAAATTGCTAAATAGCATTCTATCATGAATGTAAACTATTATAGAAACATTATTAATTAATGCAGAGTCACATCTTGAGCCTTTTTCCAAGGTCAAGTACATTAACACTGTAGCACATTACAATTTAAGAGCTAATATTTATAGAAAACTTATTATGTGTCAGGTATTTCATAGTGTGTATATAAATGTGTATTTAGTTCTTATATCAGTATGTTAATGATTGAATGATTAATAACTTAGCTGATATTCAATGAAATTTATACCATATTCAGACACTATGCAGCTGTGTGGTTACAATCTCAACTCTCAATTTATATGTTGAATTTCTTGCCCTTACTACTGACCTTATTTGAAAATAGTGTTGTTATTATGTGGAGTGATTTATAATTCAATATGACTGGTGTCCTTATCACAGAGGGGAGTTAAACCAGAGAAAGACATACATGACAAGAAGATGGTGTGAAGCCAGAAGTTAGGCAGCTCCTGGGCAAGGAAAGAAAGAACCTGGGGAAGATGTTCCCTCAAAGCCGCAGGAGACTTTGATCTTGAAATTCTAGCCCGCAGAACTGTGAGAGGACGCCTTCCTGTCATTTAGTCTTTTCAGCCTCTGGTACTTTGCAATGGCAGCCTTAACAAATAAATACACTGTTACGTATTTTCACTCTCACAGTCAAACCTACATGTTGATACTTAGAAAAAGAAAAAAGTTAAAACATTCTTAGAGTGAAGCCATTAACCTAACCCCAAATGTGGAGTATTCAACAAGGAAAGTGATACAGCTGTTCTAGCAACACAGTGCTGTGACAGGTGGCCCAAGATATGTGGTCAACCACACACCAAATGCAGATTTAATTTGCATTGTGTTATAGCGAGAACAGAAAGAAAAGGCTCAAGAATACCAATTGCCACCACCCGCTTCTGATTCCCGACTGTGAACAAGAACTGTGGACTCTTAACTACTGGAGAACTTGACTACGGATTAGATATGAGATGGTGTTAAGGAATCATTAGTTTTCCTGGATGTGACAGTAGCATAATGGTCACATTAATACGAATAATCTACGTTGACAGCACGGTCCAACAGCACAGTGCCTGCCTCTCTGTACCAGGTACAGCATCATGATGGGAACATGTAGTCTAGCACAGCTATTTACTTTATGGCAGCTGGGGATCAGAGAGGGTGGTGGCGGTTAGCATTCTTGTGCCTTTTCAAGGACACACACTGAGTGGCCTCTTAGAGGTTCTACTTCCTTCAGCTACACTGCAGACTGGGACCAGGCCTTCAAGCTGCAGACCCTGGGATGCACAGGGCCCACACAGTAGCAAATGTGTTCATTCATTTGTGTTAGTCATACAGTGCCTCTATACAAATTAGCATGTGTACAACTTGAATATATACCATGTTTGCTAATTAAATATTTAAAAATAAAAATTAGTATACTACCAAAACAGTTTGGCAATGCAATGATAAAGAGAAAAACTCTGTGGCATTCTGTTATCACTATTTTATAGAGATAAACTGGAACTTTGAAGGTGCTGTAAGTGTCCTCCGTGTGGCTTCAGAGTGTAACTCCACATGAGCATGTTAATAAACTAATTTTCAGTGGCAAAATGCTGATGCTCCTTATCCCTTCTAAAGCCATTCTCTGAGACACACAGCAATTCTCCCTTCCACACATCTTTAAAATGGAAGCAGAGGTGCAGAGAGACATGGGCACCCTCTGCAAGGCTGGACTAAGATTAGAATTCAGGCTACTTGTCATGTGGTTAAAGACCAAACACACCCATCAGGAACAACAGCCAATGTGCATCATATTTACAAAGGAATTAGGGATCCACTTCTGCATAGGGGTCCCTTGGATAATTTACCTCAGTGGGCCCCAGATATTCACTGCATAAGCAGATGACATGGCCCTGTGTGCTGCATGTCCTGAGGTCCAGGTGAAGCAATGATTGGATAAAGAAGTTGGTTAACTGTAAAAAGTGCTATGGTGATGCTGCATGCATGCCCATCTATTTGAGTAGCATCATGTATCACTGGTATGGACAGAAAAATGGAACTAAGTAGATTTCAAAAGAATCTGTTTTGCAGGTGCTGTTGAGATGGCTCAGCTGTAAAAGTGATTGCTGCTCTTGCAGAGGACCTAGAGACAACCCAAGTTCAGTTCCCAGCACAGCACCCACACCAGGCAACTCCCAACCACCTCTACCTCCCACTCCAGGCTATTCAAGACCCTCTCTGGCTACTGTGGGTACCCATGCACATCTCTCTCTCTCTCTCTCTCTCTCTCTCTCTCTCTCTCTCTCTCTCTCTCTCTC